GTTATGGCCCCCGTACTGAAGACATAATACTCAAAGAAGTTCTAAGGATGAAATGTGCTGGAAAAGACATGATTACTGATCTTGCTTTGAATCTATTTTATTTTTTATCTTTACAAATTCTATTTTACTAATTATTTAAAAACAACAAGGCAATAGCTTCAGTGGTATTTAGATAGGATCCTAGTTTTCATCTAAATGTTTTTTTTTTTAAACAAAAATTCAGATTTTTTAGAAAAAGGTCATTTTAATCTTAAATTAAGTCAAAAATATATGAAATTCCTAAATTATGAATGTATATTGACCTAATTTTAATTAAACCTTATTGAATAGAAATTTCATTTCATGCAGCTCTTTCAATATATTTGAATCCTTTGCCCTTTTTATTATTTCATGCTTTTCTGTTCCCCATGAAAACACGCTGGCCCCCTCCTGGCCCCCTGGTACACTAGGTCTAGAACCGCCACTGTTTAGAAGAGTCTCTGTGAAACCGAGGGGTTTAGAGAAATCTTCTCCAGCATCTTTATGCATCAAATACGTGATTCAGCATCATTTTCAGCAAACAGCCGTGTCCTCCATGAAGGACTGGAGGTGATGCTGGGAGCGTAGATCAGGGCTGTGATCCCATATGGGCACCAGCTTGGTTCTACTGCAGGTCCATCTTCAAAGATCCCTTTATTGTTTACAGAAATAGAAAAGATTACACAGTGACAGGAAGTACAGCTCATGGTTCCTATGGGCCGACAGAAAGAACCGAGCCTGAGCTTTAGAGGCAGTTAGTGAGGCAGCCGGTGGTTCTGATCCACCAGAGAGGTCCGTTTCTTCCCCATCATCATCATCCAGTCCTTCTTCATCTCAACATGGCGACTATCAGGGAAACCAGGCAGAACGTTGAAACTGTTGGTTCAGGATTTCTGACTGTCTGACACACTGGATTATTTCCACATCGTCACTCGTTAGGAGCAGAAATCCAGTTTTATTGATCAAACTTTCCAATTATTACAGTATTTTTTTATTTAAATAAAAAAAAAGGTAAAAACAAATGATTTGAAAAGATTACGCAGAATTGAGCATCAAAACAAGTGTATTTGCAGCATCGATTATCAACTTAAATGAAACACCTTGATGAAGATGTGAGTTTTTACCCCCCAAGCAGGTCCTCCAAAGGTCCTGTAAGGGTGAAGGCGGTGGTGGTGGGGGGGTACTAAGCCCCTCCCAATGTTACAAAACAGAAAAGATCAGCAGAGAAAGGAGGCAGGGAAGATGGCCATGATGCTGGAAAGAAAGATGAATAGTAAAGGTCAAAGGTCAGTGTGACCCAGCAGCCCGGCAGAGACAGAACCGGACCGAGCAGCAAACAGGCCCTACATGGACCCATCATCACACCTCCATTATTTTCACTGTTATTCTGCTCATGCAGAGAAAAGAAGGAGAGAGGAGCAGTTTGCACCACTGGATTAGAAACAGATCTTTGCATAGAATTATATTAATCTGTCTTTGGGATTATAATCCAACCATAGATGAAAACTGATTCATTTCATGGAAGGCTTGTGTTTTAGTTCCTGCTATTAATCAATTAGCTTGAATTTTTATGCTGCTTGTTTAGCAAACTCCCATAAGTTTTTATTTCCGTCCTTAAATAAATAAACAGATGTAACTTTAATTGTTAAAAAAGCTTTTTATGTTACAATAGTGTTAATATCAAAATTACAATTCCATTTGCATATGAGATGAGATCAGATTGACCTGGACCCCAGTGGGGCCCTGAAGGCACCACGAGTTTCTCTGTTTCTGAGCACAGAGGTGTTCTCTGCAGGCCGAGGCGACGCTGCGTCCAGCATGAGGATGATCGCTCCACAGAAGGTACGGCGCCACGGCAGCAGGGAGGGAAGGCTACACGGACCGACTCGCTCTATGCTAACGACGCTACACAGAGAAATCCCATCCAATTGTATTGAAAGCAGACATATAAAAAGAATTTGAGGATTATGTGTTTTAGAAATGAAAAATTTCACAATCAACAAATGTTTCAGGGTAATTTAGAACATGGATGCATAAGTTTAACCGTTGATTTTTAGAGGAGTGTTTTTTTAAGTATTTTTTGTCCAATTTTATTTTCCAAATTATATTTATTCATAATTTTATTTCAGAATTCTTTATTTATAAAACGTTTCAATTTCTTCATTTTCAGATTTTATCTTCCAAATTCCAAACAAATATAATTATTATTTTATTTGTTTGCCTTTTGTGGCAGGTGAAGTCGTATGCTGAGTTTTACAAACTGGATTCTTCTCAGAGTTTCCCCCTCTAGCCTTCTGATTGGTCTCTGTGTGGACCAATAGAAATGAGTCTGCTCTGTTTGGACCTAGCAACAGCGTTTCTATTGGTCAGAACCCGTTCAGTCGGTTGGACTCCGGCAGTTTGCTAATTTAAACGTAATTTAGCAGCTGCTCCCTTAATCTGATGAATTCTTCTGTTTGAACCCGTCGCCGGTCCTGATAAGCCTCTGATCACGACTCTGATGCTTCAGTTGGAGTGAAATATTCAAAGTTTTCATCCCTTCTCCAGACCACAGCACTATTTCTAACAGCGATGATCCTTTTTCTTCCCCTTATTGTTTGAATCCTGCTGAAAAATGTGGAACGTAAAGTTTTCCTTAAGTTGATCGTCCAGGTGACTGAGGTCAATGAGTTAAACTGAAAACCAAAACATTTCATCTTTATGATTCTTCAGTCCAGTTTGTATAAGAAATTAGAACCTAGTGTAGTCTGAGGTTTGCTCGAGGCCACCTAGACCTAGACCACCTAGATGGAGGAAGGCTGCTCTGCAGCTGATGAAGCTCTGGGATCTTCATGGAGCCATTTTATATTTAACACATGTTTTCCAGGGACCTCTGACCCCCTCTGGGGTGGAGGTGGTCATGTGAGCAGCAGCCAGTTCCCCCAGCAGGTACCGCCCCAATAGCTGCTGGTTCTACAAACACAGCCCAGTTCAAAGCTCCAACAGGAGTCCAGCCGTCAGGCCTTGCTCCGACGGCACGGTGCCGAGTCCGGTCGGATCAGCAGCAGCAAAAACACAAAGAGTCCAGCATGAGGAGAGCGTTCAGGTCCCACGCCTGCTAAGCCGCAGCCTCCGGCGGCCAATCGGGTCAGTCCTGCTCCCTGAGGTGGATGTCTCGGGTCCATTTGATCATCGTCTCTGGAGACCGATAGAGGAAGATCAGCTTGGAGTAGAGCTCCTCCTCCAGCTCCAGCTCTCCTGTTTCCCGAACCTTCACACACAGAAAGCAGTTATTTGGACCGCAACCAACCACAGAATAAACCCTTCCTGTTTAGCGCTATGGAGTGAAGTTTGATCCATTATTGTTGCAGCTATAAAAAGATTTTATAAACGAAAATATGAAAAAATCTAGAAGGAAACTTTGAAAAACGTCTTGAACAAAAAAGGCTGTATTTTAAGATTTAAGTTTCTTTCTTTTTTGTATTTCATTATTTTAAATTTTATTTTCTCAATTTTTTGTTATTTTTTTCTCTTCTTCATAATGAGTTTAATGGATTGCATCTTTCCAAATTACACTTTACATTCTCTTGTTTTCAAGCCAGATCTTAGCTCTCGCTCTTGGCCAATAAAAATGTTGCTGCTAACGTCCAGCAGACCAATAGAAATACATCTTCACCTCCCACTCCAGAGGAAAGCCCGCCTCAAGTGAAGAGAATGTGATTTGTAGAACTCAGTCAGAATAAAATGCAGTTTAGGAGAATCAGTCTGGAAAAGTTATATTTGGAAAAAAAAAAAAAGAAATAACAAATATGAAAAAAATGTAACATGAGGGAAATATTTGGAAATGTAAATGTAATGTAAAGTAAAAATAAAAAATTCCCAGCAAAGTTCCTCCTTACACCTTAGTTTGATGAATACATTTTTCAAAGTTTTCTGGATTTATTTATCCAAACCAAACATGTTCTTTGATTGCAACAATAATGGAACAAACTTCACTCCATAGATTCGATTCTTGATCTAATCTGTTTTATACCTGAATGAAGTCTAACCCTCCCTGCAAATCATACAAACATGGAGTCAAATGTTTATGCTGCTTGTGTTTTAAAGCTAACAGGTCAAAGGTCAAACGTTCAGCCAGCGCCCCCATAATTCGCTTAATGGCTGATTAACCTTTTGACCTTTAGAGGTGAGAGAATAGAGACAAAGGCTGTGTCTGAACATCCGCACTAATCAGCATATAGTGTTTACACCATTTTTAATGTGTCTGAAATTCTAGTGGATGAAAAAGTAGTAGACTCCAAATCTCCCACAATGCACCTTGAAAAGTAGTGATAAAAAAGATGGCGCAGGCACTGTGCTGGGAGGCGGAGTTACATGACCAACGGAGCAAAAAGTAGTGATCATCTGACAGAACGGTCAGTTAACCGAGTTCACTATAAAGTTCACCATATAGTCCCGCTCTACATAGGAGGGATTTAGGGGTTAGGGCGGACGTTTAGACAGCCAGAGAGAATATTTAGTTGTTTATCTAATGATTAGAAGTTTACATCAAGCGAAGGTCCAACTGTGTGAGCGACTCGCTCCAAACCAGAACCCAACTCGGACCTGAGAGGGAGCTAAAGACCGTCCACAGAAGATGCCTGCTGCGATGAAGAGTTTTTTAACATGAATTAATGAATAATTAATGTTTCAAATTCTATTTTTGTTTCATTTCCAATCAGAAACAAACAGCTCTGCCCATCACAGCAGACCTTCGATGGAGGGACATCCACACATAAATGCAGAACCTTCTGGACCCCAGGGGGGGAACCGCACCAGAAGTCCCAGGTTCTCTAGTGACCTCAGCATTTGTAAACCTTTGAATCTAAGGGATCAAAAGCGTGACTTTCTGGTGGGACCAAACTGGACTGGTTTGGTCTGATGTTCTGTTTAAAACGGTTTCAGCTGCTGGCGCCGATCCACACTAACCAGGAAGATGTCTGTGCAGAGCTTCAGGATCCGGTCCACGCAGGGCAGCTCCTCGAACATGATGGAGTGGGAGATCTCACTGAAGAACCCACGGACGAACTTCCCGATGACCAGAACCACGGACACGTAGAGACCCATGATCCTGGAGGAGAGCAGAGGTCAGGGAGCCATCTTTAATCACTCAAACATGTTTCAGCTTTTAAGTTGTTTATTTCCTATTGATTGGTTTTAGGGCCTCCAGGAGTATTTCTTTTTTTCGGTTTTTTGCATGTATAATAAATTTTATACTAAAAACAAAGATTCCTTTTGATGATAAAATTGTGAATTTTTATACCAATATTTTTTAAATATGTAGAAACCATTCTTATATGTCGGAAATAATTTTGCTTTCCATTATTTAAGAACATTTGTAATATTTGATTGAATTATTTCTGTTATGCTAGCAGAAACATGCTGCTGCATTATGGGTAATTCTGGCACTGAGAGTCACACATGGATAAGCTCCGCCTCCTGCGCTGTGATTGGTCAGACTGAACTAAAGGCCTGAGCTCGTTCTCATGTGACTTTAATCTACTCCTCCTATTGGTCCTGACGTTGGCATGGTAACCATAAGTAAACATGTTTAGATTTCACAACACAATAATTTCCATACCGTAGATCAGGGGTAACCAATTAAAAATCAGTGGGGTCCGAATAAAGAAAATCATCAACCATTAAGGTCCTAAAACATTTTTAATTAGGATCCGTTACTTTAAACAGAATTTAATATTATATATATATTATATTATGCATCCATGTTAAACATTGACTTTTTAAATAGAAAAAAAAGAACATTTTTCCATATTAAAATCTAAAGTGTTTGTTCAGTTTAGTATATAGAAAATTTCCTGATAAACAATCCACAAACCGTTTGTTATTTTCTTATTTTTCTGTCTTAATGTTGGCAGTGGGCTTTCTGCTGCCCTGCAAAGCTTTAAACCTGGTTTGAATGGAGACTAAGCCATTCTAAAGCACATATCAAGGAGCTCATTCTGAGTTTGGATCCATATTTATTGTTGATTCTGTTCATGGTGGAGAATCCTGCTTCACAGCAGCAGGTTGAGCCAAACATACTCTAAATGTTCAGGATCATCTTTGAGCACCATTTCACTTTTCTTTCACCAGTTCACCACAGTTCTTCCAGCAGTCCACACTTTCTCTGCTCTCTTTTTCTCATCATCTTCTCCTTCTTTCCCATCGCCCGGCTTGCCACAGGTTTGCCTGCTGTGTCTAAAAGTAGCAGCAGCAGCAACTCAGACTGACAGCAGCTCATTGGATCATTTGGATCATGTGCAGCCTGGAGCCGGACGCTCTAGATGGCTTTACCGTATTAACAGGAGAAGCAGCGCAAGTGAAGTTAGATACTGTAGTCGGACAACAAGCTGTAATTTATAAATGTTTTAAGTCAGGTTGGGTCACATATAAGCCAGCAGGTGGGTCCAGATCTGTGACCTCTGCCCTAGATTTTTTTCTGTGATGTTCTGTGGATCGATTATTTAAAAAAAAATAGTTTGAATGAAAAAGTTTTAGCTATGACCTTTAAATAGAAAACAATCTCCAGAAATGATCCTGTTCAAGACTGTCCTGATTTCTGAAAGTATTAGGAAGGTCCTCCATCAGCTGCATCTTAAGAAGTGAAACCAGCAGCATGATGCTGCCACCACCATGCTTCAGTCTGATGCTCTCTGCTGTTCTATAGTAATAAAGGGTTTGGTTTATCAGACATGTCCTCCTGGACTTCTGAACCAGACCTCTTTGTTTAAATGAAATCCTTTATTTTCTTGGCTCTAATCTTTGGAAAAAGCTGGCAGATGGATTTTCCTGCAGCTCTTTCTTATTGTCTGTCTACTATACGATTGTTTTTCTGTGCAGGAGGAAGGAAGCATCCAGTGAATCAGAAGTTGGGAGACGGCGCGGCTCTTACCCGTATCCGGCCAGGAAGCCCAGGCTCGGCGGGCTAACCTTGTCGTTGAATATGACCATGGGGAGCACGGTGCATGACGCCGGCTTGCATCTGGCGATGGCGATGTCCCACCACTCCTGGTTCCCTGAGCTGTTTGGCGTCCGGTCACTCATCAGGGACAGAGTGATGTCCTGGTAATCGTCTTCATCATCTGCAGAAGGTTAAAGATGTTCTGAGAGCAAGAACTACAAAAACTCACGCTTTTTCTTTCTCACATTTCTTTTAAAGTTGATTTTTTTATTTTATTTGAAGCATAAATATAAATACAAAAGTTTAATTTGTTATCCAACATAAAACATCCTCCACTTAATCCAGGCATACAATCTACGATATTTTCAATCGTTGCACGCAGCTACAGCTCAAACTGTACGATGAAACGCAGGGTTGAAAAGTTCACAGCTCACGATGTTTGTTCTCACACTGTCCGACCCGACGCTCTGATGCGATCTACCTGCTCACAGTGAACGTCTAAAAACCACGTGGGACTCAGTGCCTAGAGATGGTGCTGGTCGGACTTATCAACTTGGAAGAAGAAGAACTCCCTTGTTTGCACATGTGCAGTGTACGAGGTTCTGGTAAACCGGCTCGTAGCTCTGCTTCAACGGAAGGATTTACCCACGAACACCTCAGGAGGGCCGACTGGATTTCAAACATGTTTGAGTATTTCCTGACCTTAGGATTCCTGATTGGGAGATGGTCGTTAGAGGCTGATTTCCCCTGGTTATCCCCTGTATACTACGCCACGCAGGACGCACCATGAGGCTCAATCTGCTGGTGAAGAATCTCAGTCATCCAGGTTCACATTCTGAATTGAAAAACCTTTCTGGATGGGAAGTGAAACGTCTTCAAACTTGGAAGTCCAGTGGATTGTTTTCAAACTTTTTTTTAGAATGGTCGGCCCGATAAAAAAATATTCTCACATGACCGAAGAATCGGCCCGAAAATGGCAAAAAGTCACACAGTGTGTGCTCGGCTTAATCTGGGACAGACCACAGGGGGCAGCAGAGATCACGGTCAGCGCACTGCTGACTCAGATCCATCATGGCCTTCTACCAGTGGATCCAGTAGATCCACTGGTTTCCAAGTCTTAAACTGCGTCTCCAGTCTAAAGGCTGGTTTATACTCAGAACCCAGGTGGTCTGCGTGTGTGTCGCAATGAACGCAAATGTGGCTCCGCCCCCTCCGCAGACACTCTGCTGCACCTCTCCAAAATTGTAGGTGACCGCAGACAGGAGGCCTCTGATTGGTCAAATCTACATCTGCTCTACTCTTTGCGTATTTCCTGTTTGGTTCCTTACCGGCTTGTTTTGTTTGTAAGACCACCATTGTGGAAAATGACTCGTGAAAATGGACCAGCTGGAAGAGCGAGGTGCTAGAGAACGCTGGGACCCTTTTTCCACCTGGATCCCCGCTCTTTTTCACCCTCATGTCCCTCCATTGTCGCACAAACTTGCCCCCACTTCCTCACCACCTCAGCCGTATCTAGACCCACAGCTAGTTCCTGATTGGCCCTCTTGAGTTGTGGCGTGGAATAACAGCACAGACCATGGTTCAATATTGGGCATAAATCAAAAATATCTGACAAGCTCACTGCGACGCTCTGCTGCAGGAGGATAACCAGCCCTCAATGCTTTGTTATTCTCGGGGTCAAAGCCTTTAATCAGAGATGTAGATTGGAAAAAAGGAAGAGTTCTGACCTTTGTAGAGCTGACTGACGGGTTTGGCATCGGCTCCATTTGGGGCCCGCATGTAGTTGGGGAACATATTGGGAACCAGGCTGCGGGAAGAACGGGGCGGATCTATTAGGACTGAATCTGTAACCTGAGGATGTCCGTTCTATGTGGGACTGTCACACACTTACACAGGCTCCGTCCGGTTGCCGATGAGCAGAGATGCCAGCTCTGCTCTGACCGGGTTCCCAGGCTCCAAGTCGATCGAGTGTTTGCCAAACGTGTGCTCCACCGTCCCCCCCTTACCCAGGTCCCTGTGGGGGAACAAATTCACAGAGAGGGTGGGGTTTAAACAAACCTGTCCCACCTACAGCTGCACACGTCAAACACACGAAGAAGAAGAGGTCTGACCTCTGGAAGGTCCAGGCCAGACGGAGGGTCAGGTCCATAGGGCTTCCCAGAAGCTCCTTCACCACCTCCTGCCTACTGGGGGGACTGATCCTCCACACGGATCCTGAGCTGCCCTCAATCATGGCTGTCACAATGTCCTCATAGCTGTACAGGGTGATGAACTGCATGGCTTTCTGAAAGAGAACACACCCAGACCTCAGTGGTCCACATTCAGAGACGCTCCGGTACCGAGCGGCGAGGAGCACTCAATAAAGATAAAGATGGCGGTACGCACTGCGTTGTCTCCGAAGGTTTTGGTGAGCTGCTCGTACTCGGCGGCTGTGAAGGGCTTGATGGACTGCTGCTGCACGCTCATAGTGAACAGGGGCTGGAACACACAGGTACATGATGGGTAAACTAAGCACTTCATCTACTGACACAATTATTAGGCTCCAACGTTTACATCAAAGGAATTACACTGGAAAAAATCAAAATCTAGATAATTAAATTATTCTTAAAATAAGTAGTTTTTTCTTAAATTGAGGGTGTGTTGGAACAAGACAATTTACATTTAAAATAAGTAAAAAAAAAACTATTTCAATGTCTTATTTCTAGTGTATCTCATCAAATTAATTTAGAGTAAAAATCCTAATTCCATTGGCAAATCATCTTATTTACCTACGCAAATTGAGGGCAAATACACTTAATTTAAGTCATTTTGACTTATTTCTAGATCGTTTTTGCAGGGATTAACGCTAAATTCATTAAATCATTCATTAATTCACTAAATCTATTAGTTTAGATATAAATAATGATCCCTTGATCATTCCTTACTGACCAGACGTTTCCTTTAAAGGAGAAGAAAAGGAAGAATTGAAAAGATTAACAATCATTTTATGCTTTGAAAATAGACCTTTAGGAGATGGATCAGTGGTTCTGTCGGGACACCGGGCTGCGTTCAGGTTTGGGGGACAGGGTGAAGGATCTAATTATCAAATATTCAATATCAAGAATCATATCTTCAAATATGAAGTAATCTTTTGAGCTCAAGGCGAGCAGGTAACCATCCATCATCAGTTAGAGGTCATGTTCAGGGTAATGATGACCGATCAAACATCCAGCCTGCAGATCCACCTTTATTACCTGATCTCATTTCGTTTTTAATTTCACGTCTTATAAACAGACTTTGGTCGGTTTTAACTGAGAACACCCTTTATTCAGCAGAACTTTACTTCAATTGATCTAAAAATGTCAAATTACCTCATAGCCGCCCAGTTTAAAAGTGACTGTGACGTCGATGGGGTGGTTGACCACACCCACCACCGATCTGACCAATGAAATGAAGAGAAGGGGAAACCAGATGATGCAGATTAGGAAGAAAATGATCAGTCCCCCCATGCCGTATTTCACTATCTTCTTCTTCTTCTGTCCCTTAGGTTGGGGGTATTTCTGGAAAAAGGAGACAGATCATAAAAATATGAGACATTTCATGATTTTATCATTTTAACTGCAGCGATGGAATGAAGGAGCACAGAAACCCAACGGGAACTTTTAGAGTTAAATCCTGATTAAAAACAAATGTAGGAATTCTGCAGCTGCATTCAGTCATTGAATGTATCATTGTGTTCACACATCTAACTATATGGAGTTAAATATGGCAGGGCTCGATATTAACCATCGCCTGATCTCCCGGGGCGAGTAGTTTTTATTGTCGGGAGAGTACAAATTTCAATGCATTTGCCCGACGGGCAAGTGCAATGATCGCAAAAAAAAAATTATTTATCACTCAAAATTACTTTAAAATCACCGACATTCGCTGAAAACGACCCAGAAGCATTGCAGGCGCCATTTTTGTTGTTTTGTAGACATTCTGCGGTGATTTTACGCCAGATGGCGTGATTTTTGTCCACCTAGCGGTAATTTTGATGTAGTTACCAAAACGACAAACAAGCTAGAAAGCTTCTGTACAGTGATGCAGGTCATACATTAAAAAATGTTCATAACCTTTTTTTACTCTTAGACATTGGAGAGG